CTAATAAATTGCCAACCTGTGACTCAGGGGAAAACATATTGTAATTTACTGCTGTAAATGCAAAGTAAATATATATAGCACCCATAAAATTTAATTGACAAAGTAGATATTGCATAATCTCACCACTTTTTTTTGGTGCACTTGAGATTCATTTCACATTCCACATTTCAGGAGGTAACTCTACAATCTCTTCAATTTTGCCATCATCTTGAGATTTTAAACATTTAAATTTGTTAATTTAATGTCAGACTTCTTAGATGTTGTCTCATCACCTGCAGGGACCTCACTGATAACACTAAGCGTTATGGTCCCCAATAGCTTTCAGTTATGGATTACTCTAGCAGTCTGTAGAATGGAAAAGTCTGAGAATGTTCATTCCTCTCTGCTCTACTCCCCACTGCGGAGCTATTGGGTTTACCTGAAAATGGAAGTAATGGCATTAAGCTTGCCTCTTTTTTTTTTTTTTTTTTTAAAGTCATACTTCATATTCTAATGATCAGCTCAGTACTAACTTCATTGTCTCATATCCAGTTATTATTTCTTTTGCTGAAAAGCGCTTGTATGTGTAGGTAAACCATGAGGATGGTGTTAACCCCAAAAAAGTATTGGGGTGAAAAAGTAGTTATTGAGGACATGAGCCTAACCTTTTTAACTTTTACGCTTGGTCCGAATCTTTAATTCTGCAAGTATAAGTTGCAATTGAATTTGTTGACAATTCAAATCAACAATCCATAATGATAGAGTCGACCATTAATAAGAAAAAGAATTCTATGCCATTTTATTTAGGGTGGGAAGAATGGGGGCGGGGGAAAAGCACTTCATAGTCAGGAAAGCTACTGGCTAAGAAATGCAAAACCTGACTCCGTAAATAAAATGAAGATCAACAGCATGAAAGCAAATGGGATAGTCAGTGATATCATTTAAAAGAGGGATATTTGTTAGATTGAAAACAGATTATAAACAGGGAACTTCTGAAGGGACCAAAGAGATAAATAAAAGTAACAGAACAGATTGGGAATAAAAATTAAAATAATAAACTTGATATATTGGAAGAACAAATTAATTTGAGATCGGTATAGTGGGAATTAAAAATGAAGATGAGATTCTAGCAGCTTAGCCCTTTGAAGACCCAGTTTGATGTAGTGATTAGGCTGTTGGCCTAGAAACCAACAGACTCTGAGTTCTAATCCTGCTTTAAGGTATGAAAGCCAGCGGGATGACGCTCTCTCAGCCCAACTCACTTCACAGGGTGGTTGTTGTGGGAAAAATAGGGGCGGGCGAAGGAGTATTATGTATGTTTGTTGCCTTGAGTTATTTATAAAAATAATAAAAGGCAAAATAAAAATATAATAAATAAAACAATCTCAGCTGTAGTTCAGTTCATTTATTTTAATAAATTTCAAATACAGGTAGTCCTCAACTTACAATCACAAATTGAGCCCAACATTTCTGTTGCTAAGCAAGACATTAGTTAAGTGAGTTTTGCCCCATTTTATTACTACCTTTCTTGCCACGTTTATTAAGTGAATTACTGTAATTGTAAAGTTAGTAACAAAGTTATTAAGTGAACCTGGCTTGTCCATTATTTTTGCGTAACAGAAAGTTGCAAATGTGATCATATAATCCAAGATATTTATGACATGCAACTGTCATAAATATGAGTCAGTTGTCAAGTGTCTGAATTTTGATTTTGGCCATGGGGATGCTGCAATGGTGTAAGTGTGAAAAATGGCCATAAGTCACTTTTTTCAGTGTTGTTGTATGAAGGGTCACTAAATGAACTGTTATAAATCAAGGACTACCTGTAAGCATTAAACTTGAATTCAGTAGGACTGACTTCTAAGCAGTAGCAGCTTTACTAAAAGTGCCATATAAATATAACAAATGTTTTACTATATTAAGCAACCTGAGAAGACTTCCTGCACACAATCATTTGATGCAGTAATATTAAAATAGCAAGCTCAGATTATGTTAAGATAAGTTTCTGTAGAATTTATGTGGTATTTCTTGAATATATTGCTTCCTTATAATTTTTTCTACTGCCTGTGCTAAAGGGAGGATGTAATGAATTCTTCACTCGTTTGCATCTTATAGAAAAGCTAGTTCATCAGAAATATCCAGCAAATCTTTTTAAATGTATTAATGCAATTAACACTGATGTTATGACTAAGTCTTTAATTACAGCAGATGCAACAAGAAATGTTCTTCAAAAGCATGGGCATGCTAATGTTTTCATTGTTACTATGTACATCTTCCTCTTACTCAGAAGTAGATCTATTTTTCTCTGCATGCAGTCACTTGTACAAGAGGGAGGAAATGGTAGTTAGCTAACACAACCGGTACTGTATGCTTCATCTGTGCATAACTAAATAAAAGCAATCTTCATGATGATAACTCATAGGGTAGTTAAGTGGCTGAGAAAGGCCAACATCAAAAGTCATGTTTTAATCCATCTATATCACACATTACTGACTGCTTTCCGGATGGTGCCCCCTTCCTTTATGGGAAGATAGCGACTATTTCAGTGGTGGCTAACCTTTTTGGGCTCCTGTGCTGAAAATTGTGTGTACTCTTGCGTGCGTGTGCTCACATGCCAGCACCCAGAAGGCAATGCGCGCAGGCCCCCCATGCCCCGTGTATGTGTGCGCGAATCCCCTCGCATGTACTGCGCATCCCCCGCATGCGCCATGCATCTCTGCGCATGCACGCACATCCCCCATGCATCCCAGCCTCCCACGCATGCACACCAAATACCCAACAATCAGCTATTGGGCGGGTGTCGCACGTGCATGTACAGTAGACCTGCTCTGGGCAAGGGTTCACGTGCCAGCAGTAATGGCTCTGCATGCCACTTCCAGCACGCGTGGCATAGGTTCACCATCACAGGCCTATTTGGTTGGCTTGATTGAATTAAGCTTGATTGAGGTGAGGTGATTAACTGATAGATCCTACTGGATTCCAGATGGAGCTTGGGGTTTTCTCCAAGGAATTTATGGGTCAGCGGTGTCAAACTCACATCGTCACGGTGGCATCACGTGACATATTGGGACTTTTTCCCCCCTCGCTAAACCAGGTGGGGGCAGGGCCAACACGTGATGTGTCTGGCCCGTGGGCTGTGAGTTTGACACTCCTGTTAAAGATGATTCAGGTGAAGTCTTGGTTGCCATGTGGTTTACTGAGGAGCTCTGGGAAACAAAGCACCAGAAGAGACTACCTATATTTTTCCACCATAATTGCATATGCTGACAGCTGTCCAGAGGCCCTGGTTATCATGATCTAGTCCAGTGGTGGGATTCAAAATTTTTTACTACCGGTTCTGTCGGCATGGCTTGGTGGGTGTGGCAGGGGAAGGACGCTGCAAAATCTCCAGTCAGAGGTGGTATTTTCCGGTTCTCTGAACTACTCAAAATTTCTGCTACTGGTTCTCCAGAACTGGTCAGAACCTGCTGAATACAACCTCTGATCCAGTCTGTTGTGTAGGGACAGATTCTCTGCAGGGCTGTTGTGAAAATATTCCAGCTATTTAGCGGAGGGGTGTCAAACACAGGTCCCAGACCAGATGCGTCACGTGCTGGCCCCGCCCCGCCCCGTTTTAGCAAAGGGAGGGGGAAGTCTCCACACATCACATGACGCTGTGACGGCCTGAGTTTGACACCCCTGATTTAGAAGATATAGTTGGTCAGATCTGTTCTGAGTTGGGCTCTGATTGGACAGGTCTAGCCAAGGTATAGGCACAGTCTGATGGTGTGATCTGTGATGAATTCAAGTCACTGACTCTCATGAAAATAGCCAGATCTGAAAGAATAGACATGTTCTGGGCACCATCAATTAAAAGTGAAACATACCTTCTCTGTAGTGGCATGTGGATTAAGTTGCCCCTGAGATCTGTATGGCTCTTACCCTGATGATGTTTTTGAAACTGTACTGGCTATTTATCTAGGCTTTGGGATTAGTGTAGCTGGGATTCTCTTGTTTATAAAGTTTTGTATTTGTTTTGTTGTTGAATTGCCATCTTGTGATTATTTTGTAATTGTTTCTGTGCTTATTTTGGTCAGTTTTCTGTATTTTGTTGATGTTGTTATTTTATTGCTGTGAACCACTGAGAGTTCAGTGGCATCCAAATCGAATTCAATAATCATAAATATAACCCACTTATGTTGATATTGGAGATAAAAAAGGAAGTCTTTCCAATGCAGAGAATGGCTACCTTCCTAATCATCATCTGACTCAGACAACACAAAGAGTCTTAATATAACACATTTATTTTAAAGTGAACCATGATTTAGTCAATTATTCCAATTTTGGGAGTTTATACAACACATAACCCAATTTAAGCTTTTGTGGCCATTTTTTCGTGTGAATAAACCTCAGCTAAAGAGCTAATAAGTCTTTTATCTTCTATAGCTGATGGGAATACACAACAATACTGCTAGTTCTGTGTTCTTTTCCATCATTTATCCAAACCAATTTCCATTTTCCGATTTAGGGAATATGAAAAGTCCACATCAAGCTGAAATTTCTAGTGATCACAAGAATATGTCCATGCAGTTTTTTTGGCAACAATTAATTCCTTCCTTCCTTCCTTTTTTAACCTGGTTAAAATATTTTTTTTAAATATATTTATATTTAATTTCCCGGCCTCTGCGTTCTCGCGTTTCTAAGCGTCGCCTACTTCGGGGGAAGGGTCACGTGGTTCAGCGACCCGCGATTGGTTTGAGCTGGCCAGCCCGGCTGGAAGGGAAAGCGGCGGGCGGTTGCCTAGGCAACGGAGAGAGCGCTGCAGGGCCGAGAAGGGGGCGGGGTAGGCCGGGGAGCGACGGAGCCGCCGAAACGGCGTTGCTCTGGATGGGAGCCTTGCGTGGCGGGAGCGTGGCCGCCGCTATCCCCGGGGGCGAGGGTCGACGGGCGACGATTAACCCTCGCGAGCTCGTCGGTACGGCGACCGTCGCTCCATTTCTTCCTCTTGTCCCAGGCGCTGTGGCTCTTGCACCCCGGGAACGACCCTGGACGGTGAGACTTGAGGAGACAGATGAGCATGTGGGCTGGCTGCCTTGCGGGGCGACCGGACGAAGAGGCGGCCGTTGAGTGCAGAAGCTGAGGGGGAAAGCACGAGAAGGCGAGGGCAGCGCGGGGGATTCTCCCTCTTTGAGCGGAGGGGACCCCCGGGGAAGGGCGGCGTGGTGGTGGTGGTGGGGTGTTTGTACGAAGAAATGGTGGCCGCCAGCCTGGCCGGCTTTCAAAGCGAGTAGTAGAGCTCCGGCTGGGATTTAGGCAACAGGATACCCAGGCTGGGAAGCTGGAGTGGGCGAGGGCTATTTCTGTTTCGCTCTGTTCCTCCTTTGCCAGCGGCTTCCCAGAGACATCTGGCTCGCTCGCTTCTGTGGGAGGCAGGATGGCCGAGAAGATGGGCCTTTTGAACTGATGCAGCAGGGCGGCTCGCTCCGGTTCAGACGCCGGAGAGGGGTCCCTTGGTGGGAGTGGCTTTCCATGGACTCTCCGCCAGAGGCTCCGGGGGGATTGTCATGATTATCCCACTAACACCAGACTCCCCTGCTTTGGATGGCATCCAAGTTTATTACTACTACTACTAAATAATAATAATAATAATAATAATAATAATAATAATAATAATAATAACCCCCACACATGTTGTGTTTAGGCATAGAAAGAAACAGGGATACTCCACTGCATAGAAGGGCCACTTTTCATATCATCATGGGAATCTGATTGTCCTCATTAACAAGCTTATCCATTGCTAAACCAAACCGGGTTTTGGTGGATTATCCCAATGTTCTGGCTTTATTTAATACATAACCCAAATTAATTTTATGGACTTTTTTTGTGATCTGTCGTATGAACGCATCCCAGCTAAAAAAGAGAGAGATTATAGTTTTTCATCTTTTATGGCTCAAGGGAGTGCACAACAAGACTAAGGGGGATCTTCAATCTTCAGTGATACTTTCTGTCCTTTGTCTAAACCAATCTAACTTCAAAAAGATCCAACTTGGAGTTAAAGAAAACTCTTCTTCGTTGATATTTGCTACATTTAACTGTGTTTGCTGCATTTAAATGTTTGCTAAGTTAAACTGTATTCCTGTTTTTGGTTTTTTTATCTGTTAGGTTTTTGTACTTTCTGAGGGCATCTATCAAGTGAAAGAATGAAATGTAGTAGAAGACTAAAATGCTATTGTTCTTCCTTGGAATAATATTGCTATGCCCAATGAGGTTTGTTGCCAAGAATATCTCTATAGGACTGCAATGTAGACCTCTTAAAGAGATTGTTAATATTATTTATCATCTGCAAACTCTGGTCTGTAAATACGTGTAAACTCAGCAACTACACACAGTACTGAGATCAACATGTGATGGTTGGGAGCAAGTGGGTTTGCTTGCCAGAAATGTTGGCATTTGGTTGATAAAATTGGATTTTTTTTTGTTTGGTTCAATAATGCTTTTTTGTTGCTGTATACTTAAGCCTTCATTTTGTAAAGATTTACTTATTCTATTATCTGAATAAATACTCTGATTCAATTTTTTGTGGTATTGGAAGAAACAGTTTGATTCTGATTATATGGGAACTGTATGCTGCAAGTGGAATTTGTGAATTCAGATCAGGAAGAGCTGCTCCACATTTCTCCTCCTAGAGAAATGGAGTGAGGAACCAGGTCTTTTGTGTGATTGCCCCACCCTATAAATAGCTTGCCTCCTCAATCTTGGCCTTTAGGAAGCAATGAAAATGACATCTTTTCATCCCATTTTTGGTGTTTTAAAGATAATTTGACATGGCTGAAACCTGTCATTCACACTATTCATTGCCCCTTCTTATTTTTTGTAGGTCATTTGGGAGGAGGGGGTTATGTTACTTGCAGGATGTAGGATATAGTTTTATTCCAAGAAGAAGCCTAGTGTTCCAGACCTTGCTTACACAACATTTATGTTAATTCCTAGCCTTCTTGCTAGCATTTATAGAAAAAAACTGTGCAGGTACCAACTAAGTGTGAGCTTGAGATTTTAATTCTGTAGGAAGTTCATGTCTGAAGTAGGTATTTGATAGTTGGGCACTCAGGCTTTGTGGAACCTTTTAAAAGTTTGAAAGTTGACAGCTAACTACAGTATCCGGTGACATTAAAAATGAGGCTGGCATATACCTGACTAAGGCTGAAAAGACTATTCATTAATATATTAAAATTAAGCAAGCAATTGATTAATTTAAATCCAAATCTAGCATTACTCAAACATTTGGTAAATTTCATTGATATGTAAAACATTTTTTTCTAAAAGTTAGTGATTTTTTTGTTTCCACTTGATATGCATTCACACGTTTCATTAGAAAACAAAGGAAAACCTAGAAAAGGAAAAATTTGGAACAAATTGTTATATTTCAGCATGTGTGTGATGCTGTATTAGTACCAAATACCTAACACCTATCAGCCATTTGCAGAATATCCTGATGTTGAAAATAGCTGTTAGCAAGGCAGTCAGGGAAGGTCAAATATGAATCAAGATCAGTGGTGGGATTCAAATTTTTTAACTACCGGTTCTGTGGGCGTGGCTTGGTAGACGTGGCTTGGTAGGCGTGGTATGGCGTGGCTTGGTGGGCGTGGCATGGCTTGGTAGGCGTGGCAGGGGAAGAATACTGTAAAATCTTCCTTCCTTACCCCACTAATCTGCTTTCCAGCTCCGTTCTCCAGCTGGGACTCGGGAGGCAGAGAATAGATGGGGCAGGGCCAATCAGAGGTGGTATTTGCCAGTTCTCCAAACTACTCAAAATTTCTGCTACCAGTTCTCCAGAACTGGTCAGAACCTGCTGAATGCTACCTCTGATCAAAATGTAACAATAAAGTTCATTTTAGGCAGTCAGGATGAATGGAGCAAGGTATAGAATTTGACAAAGTGATTTATACTATCACTTATGTCATTTCTTTAGTAGGGATCACTTATTTTAGTTTTACTTTAGAAGGTTTACATATTAAATTTATAGCAAAATATTTATTAATGTAATTTATAACAAAGCCTATATCTTTTTAGTTATTTTTTTTTTGCTAAATATCAATTGAAAGTTAGTTATTCCAAGCTTATATTTTATTTAGTTTGTATAATTTTACCACAAAAATGAGAAGTGAGTTTCCCACTTCATAAAGGCTATTTGGCAAAACAGGATGTGCTAAATTATTACATAAGAAAAACAGCATATTATCTTATATGCTACAACTTGTTAGGTGCAATGTTATAGATTACTACAGTTATAATACATGTAGATTAACATATAATATTTAATGTCTTCTCCAAGTTTATGTTACCTACTTTAAGATTTCATTATTACCTACAGTATTTCTCTGTCCTATTTCTATTGAATAAATACAATACATTGTATAGATATTCACTTTAATGTAATTAATAAATTACAGTTTAAGAATTAGGAATTGAAGGGAATTTGCAAGGATATTTATTATTTACAATTTTTTAAATTTCCCTAAACAATGCTTTTCAGTCGAAGATGTTGTAATTAAGTATATTTTTCTTAAATAATATATTGTTGTATAAAAAGTCACAGACATTAATACATATAATGTAGAAATAATTTCTAAAATTGTTAAGATATATATACATCAGATTTGAAATACTTTTTCTGTATACACAGAAAAAAGGTTGAATGGCTTGGTTCCAGATGATGATGTACATTGCCTCTTAATATCAGCAAAGAATGAATTTGCCCAATAACAGCCTATTAATTAAAGTTAGTAATGTCTAAGACAGAAATGTTTGTACTAAAGACAGAAGCAGGAAACATGCTGTTGAAACAGTTTGTTTCTTTCAAGACTTGCTTCCAGGCAAGTCAGTTCTTTATATGTTTCAAATCTTTAATTTTTAATCTAATTTTCTGTGTGAAAAGTATTATTAGTACATAATCTGATCCAGAAATCAATAGCTTAATGCATTGTTTCTACATATATTAGCTGAGCTATCTTTGGGGTATTTTTGTAAAATGGAGAAAGTGTATGAAATTTAACTTTGAAAAAGTTAAACTCTACCTGCTGTGAAGTAGTTCAGAGAATTTGCAATTGTTGAAGGTCTACATATTCTTTGAAATATAATATCCAGATGTTCAGAGTAGTTTCAGCAGTTGTAAACGTTACCTTAAAGCCATTTGATGAATTGCAATAGTCAGAAGGTTGAATAATTCTTCCTGTAAAATGAGGCTGCATACTTCTATCATAGCAATTGAGAAGATGTATTGCACTAATACTAGAATCATTTCAATTGAAATGTTTAATGTTGAAAACTTGTATGACTTTTAAATTTACTGAATTTCTCAAACAGAGTTTAGCAAATTACATAGGAAAATATTGGCTATATTATTGAATACAGTAGGAAAGTGCTTCAATGCTTTTGTTAGGAAAAATATTTTTTAAAAACTTGACAAAAATATGCAGTGTTTAAGACTAGTATACTGCATATAAATGACAGTAACTTTTAAGACTGAATAAGTTTATTTAGTATTATGGTTTACTTTTGTTAAACACAGGTAATTGGATACAATGGTGCATTTTTATTTATTTTAATTATATCCTTTTCATAGCAGTTTTGTTTATTACAATTTTATCCTTAGCAGTTGATAAACTATTTTAAAGCAGTTAATGCAAGTCAAAATATAAGTGAATCTATGAATCTGGATTCACATATCACATGCTAAATAAAAATATGGTTGATTTGATTTTGGCTCAGTATGATCCTATATGAACTAAGCCATTATTGTTAGTAAACCATGATTGGTGTGATGTTAAGCAAGTTTGCTTATATTTTATTTCTCAAATATATTTATTTTTATTTATTAAATTAATTTATATGACCATCCAGCTCATGAGCATTAATCTGGGCAGCTAAAAACATGTTAAAATTTAGGGTAAATATGTACAATGGTCACTAAAGGCAAACCCAGACAAAACAATTGACAGAAAGATGTCATATGATAGAGGCTGAGAGGAGAGGTCTAGGTAGCACTAGTTTAGATACGTTTATTTATTTTTCTACCAATTTTGAAAATTTGTATTAAAAGTATACATAGTGTTATCTATTCACTTTACCTGATAAGTTCTTTAAAATATTGTTAGTCTATTTAACTATCTATTTTCCTGAATTGATCATAGAGGTCAGCTTTTTCTCATAGTCCATAGATATGGTGGGTTACAATTTCCAAGAGTTCTTACTGTAAATTTGACTGCTGTAGAAGGGTACTTACTAGATTGAGAGAGTTGAGTTAAATAAATGAAAAACATAGTTGACACGTTATTTTATGCCCATAGTGTATTATACCCATGATAATATTCTTGCAGCATGTTTTGCTTCCATGATGTTGACTGCTTTCCTTATTGAGATCTGTCAAAGCTACGTTTTTCTGAAAGTGTTAGGCAATTATAGGCAGTCATGCACTGACATGAGAGAGAAATCTCTACATTGTATATCTCAATTGATTTTTGTAGTTTATTAAATTGCATTTATCAAGTGGCGCGGTAGCCTAGAGGTAAAGACACTCACCTCCCACTTGGAAGGCTTAGAATTCAACCATAGGCAGTGGCAGATGTTTCTCTATCAGGGTACAAAGAGAAAATATCTGCTGCAAACTTCATGTAGGTGTCAGGAAGAGCTTCTGGCCAGTAAACGCTCAGCTCCATTAAGTCTCAATCACCCTGACTCCACCCTGAATAAAGGAATTAAAGGGTCATAAAAAAGAAAAATAAATAAATTGTATTTATATTTTCTTGTTGATAGCTTTATTTCATTCTTTAGAGTAATGAATGAAGGTTTGTTACAAAATACAAATAAAACAGTCTAAAACTGTTCATTGTGTTTTGAGGTTTTAAAAAAAGTGTATTAAAAATAAAAAAAACTGGAAAAAATAATATAGTTATGATATACATTACTTTGCATTGCAGTATCCTAACTGCCTTATGACCAGTGATATCAATAGGGAAATTAGTATTAACATACAGGTAGTCCTTGATTTATGACCACAATTGAGCCCCAAATTTCTGTTGCTAAGCAAAACAGTTGTTAAGTGAGTTTTGCCCCATTTTACTATCTTTCTTGCTATATTTGTTGAGTGAATTACTGCAATTGTTAAGTTAGTAACACGGTTATTAATTGAATCTGGATTCCCCATTGACTTTGCTTGTCATAAGGTCACAAAAGGTGATCAGTTGAGCCTAGGACTGTAACTGTCATAAATATGATTCAGTTGCCAGGTGTTTGAATTGTGATTATATGACCATGGAGATGCTGCAATGGTTGTAAGTGTAAGAAATGGTCCTTAGTCACTTTTTTCAGTGCCGTTGTAACTCTGAATGGTCACTAAATAAATTGTTGTAAAGCAAGGACTACCGGTAGTCTGTAATAATCCCTTGCATGTGTTTACTGTAGAATTAAAATAAAAGGCTAACCAACTTCCCATTCACTTTCATTTATTTCAAAGCCATGAAGGCCTGGTCTAAGAAGATAATATGTAGTTGAATGGTTAATTTTTTAGGAACCAGAATTAGCATTTAAAGGATAGCAAAAAGAAAGGGATGGAGGAAGGGAGAAAAGAAGGAAAGCTAAGGCATTGTAGATTTTATAGATTTGAGCTCTGATTTAGCCATTACATATCATTGTTATTGTTTTAAAAAAAAATTCCAAATTTTAAAGCAAAAAATCCCCAAAACTTTGGGTTGAATTAACTGACTGAATCAATGCAGTCTTATTGGCAACATTATGGAAGTTTACTGTTGTCATCTTTAGAGATGTTTTTGACTTTTCAGATTGGTTCCCAAATCCTTTTACTTAACTAACCTGATGCCTGACACAAACTAGGCTTCTTACAGTACATATAATTCCCTTCTATTTTGGAGATGTTCAGAAAGTTAACCTTTTGGTACAAAAAAGGATAGACTAAATAGGATTAGTATCACAGTAATTTAAGATTATAACTGATATTTTATGAAGAATGAATTAGAATTTGGGAGTCAAGCAAAAACGTGTAGCCTTAATACATCTTCCAGGAAAACAAGTGCTAAGATCAGATATATTCAATTAAATGCCAGGAAACTTAGATACAAAGAAAGTTGAATTGAGTAACAAGATAGTGAAAGTGTTAACAGCAAGAATGCTAACTACAGTAGCTAGGAAATAACAATTATTTCTGGAAACTAATGTCTAGCTTTAGATAGTGACTAGAAGAATAGAATGGCTTCAGGTATAACCCTTTGTTTCAATTCAAAGATGACAACATATTTGCTCATTAGCTCACATATCTAACCATATTATTACATACACATGCTTAACTCAATAAATAATTAGAAATATATTAATCTATAGAGGACTATAATTCTCCCTCTTTAGAATTTTCTTTTCCCCCATACCTATTAGGATCTTAAATGAAATATGCTGGTCTCTGATTTAAAAAAATTCAAAAATTCTCCTACAGTAGTTTTATTAGAGAGGGTTTATCAATGAGTTTACTTGAAGTGCCTTTAATTGTTGGAAACCTGATGTTTGCTAAGAGTTCTTTGAATTAGGAAATCAAAATGTCTTTGTTTATATCTCCATAAATTAAATCATTCTTCTTATGGAAGTTAAACTGATTTAATTGTAGTTGAAACTAAATTAGGAAATGCAATATGATGCTAGTTTGTGAAGTAGACAAGTTATTTTGTAAATGTTGTTACAGTTAATACCTTTTAAACAACCACATTGACATAATGTTTCAATAATGTTTCTGTCCTCTTCATTTTCCTATTATTATTAAGAATTATGGGTTTGTCCCTTCTTCTATTAGTAAATTCTTAGATAGCATTCTAATAGTGGGTGTAAGAACTTTCTTCCTGAAATTTCAACTCAAACATAAAATCCAGACATAACATTAGTACTGTCTATTATTTATTATATATCATAGGCATAATGTGTACTTTACAAATTAATTTTTTTTCTTGTTTACAGGTATATTTCTTTTTTAAAGAAAAAATGCATACACAAAAGTTTGAGTGGCAATATTTCATCTTTAGATTGCTGATACTTTTGATATATGCTGTAAGTAGATAAACATTTTTCTTATGCATTGTATGTCATACTAGTACATGTTCTTGCAATCAAAAAAATAGGTAATTGGATAGTTGTTTTATGACCGCAAACCAATATGCGAAGCACTATAACATTTGTATTATTTGTTTGTATAGTTTGCTTACGCTGCACTCTTTTATAAATGTTGACTTACTGACCAGATGTCATTAAATGCTCTGTCAGATTAATCTGATCAATATCAAGTTGATTAACACGAGTTGACATTAACCTAAGGATAGCTAAGTTAATATATATTTATTTTAGTATAAAAACAACAAGAACAAATGTCTATCCCCAGGTCCTTGGGAAGGACTCGATAGGTTGAAAAAAATGCCAGATCCTATCTAAACATCTGGCTGACTATGTGACAAATTGTAATAATAATGGTGCATCTGGCTGAGTGTGCAACAAACCATAATAATGTTGTACTGGAATATTTACAAAGAATACAATTTGCCAGCAAGCAAGTACTTGTGGGACCACAAAATGACAAAGTAATAGAAAATGAAGAAGCTAAAGTGTTCTGGGATATCAGATTTCAAACAGACCTGCCACCTAATACCCCAGACTTAACAACTGTTGATAAGAAAGACAAAAAACATGGTAATACCTGGAAATAGCAGAAGAGAAGAGAAAAAACTAAAGAAAATCACAAAATACAAAATCTGCAAATAAAAGTAGAATGACTATGGCAAAAGAAAGCAAAGATATACCAATAGTAATAGGTGACTTGGGTACAATCCCAAAACATCTACAGCAGAGCACAACTTCAATACCATTGCCACTGACAAAAATCACCATTGATCAACTGCAAAATGCAGTTTTCCTTGGAACAACTTACATTCTGCAACAATAACTTTTATGCCATCAAACAACAACATCTGCCTATCCCAGGTCCTTGTAAAGGACTCAACAGGTTGAAAAAATGCCAAATCCAGTCTAAACATCTGGCTGGCTGTGTAACCAACCATTATAATAATATAAGCATGGTAGTTTCTGAGTTGCTTAAAATTGCAGTTACAAAGCAATCTACAAATCATTTGGAGGGATGGTACATGAGTGATCTTGCTGCTGCATCTTTTGAAGCCCCAGTATGGTTATTAAAATGGCAACATTTCATCTGTGCAATATACTTGTGAGATACGTTGCCTTGAGATAATACAAGTAACTCCCATGCACCAAGTTATCTTTGTGTGAGGGTTTTAGCATGGTTCTCCCCTATTCAAGTTCAATACTTTAACTACTATATGTGTATGGAGATTCTCAGCAATCCAGGTCATGGGTTGTCTCAAAGATGCTTTTTTAAAAAGGCAGTTGGACTTTTTCCCTTGAGAAAGAAGAACAAAACATTTCTTCTCCAAGAAGCGCGCACACACACACACACACACACACACACACACACACACAGAGCCACCACAACTGATGAAGCTTCTTGGTTTTGTTCTTCCTCAAGAAAAAAACAACAGTCCAGTTGCCTTTTGAAAAAGCACCTTTGAGACTTAACTACTATCCTACATTCATTCTTGCAGTATAAGCCTGTTTTTCCCCCCAAAAAACCTCTTCCAGTTATATATATGTTCCCAAATTTTGATTAGCAATTCCAAGTACATTTCTGTAGTTATGTATTTTCTTGGGAGCAAATTCTGAGTATGTATAGGGCTGTATTCTTGAAATATACATTTCTTTAACAATGTAATCTTAACTTCTTCCCTCTTGTTTGTAGTTAAATGTTGTAATTTGTGAAACTGGAGAGTGTAGAGAGCAGGAGTACAGAGATCATGATGGAAATTGTATATTGTGTGAACAATGTGGTCCTGGAATGGAATTATCTAAGGTATGTTCATATAAAACTTGGAAAAGTATTCTCTTGATTTTTCAAGTATGATAATTACTAAATATATTTCTACCCTACATAGAGCACTGAAAGAGTACTTGTAAATTAAATATTTTGGAAGTTGCAATATTATTTACTAGAGAAGTCTTTTCATAGTTTAAGAGTTAAACATTCATTTTTTCATTCATACATACATTTTATTTGTATGGCCACCCATCTCACTTAAGCCAGTGCAAGGCCACAGTGTGGGCTTTTTGTGCTCATGAAGTCCCATAGAAATTATTGCACATATTGCTACATTTTCCAGCAATTAAAGGCAGCCTCATTTAGTGTACATTGTAATAGATGAGACATGATCATGTTCCTGTTTCATTTAAGGCTGAAGCTAAACCAGCTGACCATGATTTCTATTTGCCCATTGAGTAGTACCTAGCAATCCAGGAAGATCCTCAAGTCATGGCTCTTCTCTCTTGGTATCACTTCCTGGAAAGACAACATGTGAGTAGGTAGAAAATCTCAGTGGACAAACAACAACTCTATTTGCTTGAGTTTAGTTTCGCTCATTTCATCTCATTCAGATTCTAGTTATCTTCAGATATTGAATCAAAACATTGACCAAACTGCCAGACTGGTAGCAGTTTGGCTATCATCAACAATTTGCCAATATCTCATACTGATAGATGCTTCTCCCACTGGCTTCATATAGAAGTTAAAAAGAACTGAGCCCTGTAGCACTCCATAAGTAACAGGACAACATAAAGAACTGGGTCTGCCTATATGATAATTGTCTAGCAATATATTATTTTTATTTATTGTGCAAATTTATTTTCCCCTCTTGTAAACAGTTTCTATTAGGAAGCATTTTTTAGAGGAACTGTAGGGTTATCTTAGTATTTTTTTAAATTTTCCCACAGTTTTTTATGTGATAGAATTTTATGCTGCTATTATATTTTCTGATATTTTGTTTGGTTATGTACAATTTCATGTATTTTATGTGAGCCCCCAAGTATTGCAGAATGATAGATAGATAGATAGATAGATAGATAGATAGATAGATAGATAGATA